CAAGACATCGACAAGTAGAATCGTAGCAATGATAAAATGCAGTGTGAAGGAGGAAGCTGGTACGTGCATTGGTCTTTGAGATAAACTTATTGTAGAATGAAGGATTTACAAATCTTTGCTGTCTATTTTATGTACTTTATATGTCTTTTTATTGGCTAAAATGTAAAAATCCACGAACATTAGCATTAGAGTACGTACGATTTTATATGTTTTATGCCGCTGTGGCAGTAAATAGTGATAATATACAATCTCAGTAAACATATAACGAACTAGAAGACGTAAGACACATCTTCAAACGTCGTGTAATTAAAGCTTTTTTTGGCGGAATTCATGAACCATACGATAACTGCTGGGCTAATCGGACGTCGTATTCTGTATATACATATGTATTACTTATCCATGTAAAATAGACATAGCAGCAACATCTATCTTCTACAATACTGAGCAGATTAATCTCAACATTCCCACTCGTTGTTAATGCTTGAGGATCCTTGGCATTGTATTGGTCCTGCCTCTAGTTTAAACTATTTAAGGCTTCCAACGCCTTCGTTAGCATATCTGCATCTGACGCTTTGTGTCGATCTGTGAAATTTCTTCTTGCACTTTCTTGCGTATGAAGTGGTGTCATATGCTCACGCGCTTTGTCCGAGCATGAACCGGCGATGTTGGCTGACGCCATCACCTCTTTGTTGTCTTATTAACCTTGTGTTATACCCACTTGCTCGTAATGCATGTTCTTAAGCATTGCGAGCGTCCAAAAGAGATCCATACATTCAATTTTCGCCGAGCTGAGTGCAACGGTTCACAGGTACGTTGGGCTGGAGACCAATGGCGTGGTTGCAATCATGGCCGTAAATCTTGAGACCGGACGTCCGTCATCAAAAATGCTGCTCCACCAGATCTAAATATTCCTTAACCGCAATGTTACCAGTACCTTGGTAGACGATACCGGTAATAGTGTACTTATCAGGTAGAGTAGCACGCAAATATCTGAATTACACTGTTGCAGTCCGGGTTCTCCCGAGTCCGGGGTTCTCCAGAAATCATTACATCATTGCTGTCACGTATAAATCATCCGGTCGAATACCAAACACTACTACAGCAAGCACTTAATTAAGGATCGATATGATCCCGAGTGCATCATTAAACGACCCTCTTTCCTTGAAGGCGACG